AACTGAGGGCCATGGTAAGGCCTGGAGAGCTGTGTCCACATTGCTCTGTCCATACCACGGCTGAGCACCATGTGCCACGGCTGTTCCCACCCACCTGGGTTCGAGGCTGTCTGTCCCACACCCCAGTAAGACAGCAGACCTGGGTGTGGCACTGGGGCGCTGCCCAGGCCATCCTGACACACGGTCAGCACAGACCACAGGGCCCCTGAGGAAGGAGGACCACGGGAGCCGTCTCGGGAGGCAGAGCGCATGCACGTGTGAGAGTAGTGACCCACAGATCCCCATGAACCACAGAAGTGATGGCCCAATGGTGCTGGCTACTTTCACACCTTCTGCAGCCCTCTGCAAATGTGTTATCTCTCGAGAAACTGCAGTTCCTGTTGCCTCCCTTTCAATTCACACGGGAGCTGAATTTTTCTCCATCACCATTTCGAGGTGCAGCCGCTGTGACAACCACCAAGCCAGCTATTATCTTGTTTCATGTATTTTTTTTTCAGCTGGATCTTGGGAAAAGTCCAACCCATCCATGCCTTTCCCTTTAGCTCCGGTCATGAATCAGCTTCCCGCCACTGCTGTGAGGCCTGCATTTCCTCTCCATGGGGACAGCTCGGCCCGGGCCATCCCTGCGGCAGACCTGTTTCTTTCATTTGTACAGTCTCTGTGGGCTGCTCTTTGTCCTCCCGAATTCCTCTTCAGTTTCTCCTAAATCATGACTTGGGACCAGAGCAGCTCCAGCTCCTGATAGAACAGCAGAGCTGACCCTCATTCCCCCCAGACCCACACCCCTTGATCCATCGAAGGGAGTTTCCATCTATCATCTTCCTTCACTCTTCACATCGGGCGCCCTGAGGGACTGAAAATGACATCTCCAGAATGTGAACTGCACAAGGAGGGCAAACTGAAACATCAGGTGTAGGCATGAAAACACTCATTGTGTGCAGCAAGGTTAGAAGAAACCTGTGCAACCTGGTCCTCCAGCCAGGTTGCCTGAGCCCCTTCCTTCCCTCCCTGGTTCCCTCCCTCCCTCTCTCCTTCCCTCTCTCTCTCCTTCCAGCAGGCCAAAGGTCACCTCTTTTGAAGTCAGCTTGGGCTTGGGATGATCGATTTCTGCTATTCTGTCCCATTGCCCCTCGGGTCCCCGAGCTGTTCTCAGGGGGTGGTGCCCCCACGGTTAGTTTGCAGACCCCCAGCCCCAGCTTCCCCAGGCCCCACTGGCCCCTCCCCACCGACTCTTCCCCCACACTTCATTCTCATCCTTCCAACAGCCTCCCTGTCCCAGACCCTCGCCCCAAGGGCTCTGGAACCACCCCGACTCTGCAGCCCTCTCTGGCCCTCGGCTCAAACCCATTTGGTGAGAGAGGGTCGGTGTCCTCCCCACGAGCTGTCACACACGTGCAGAGTGCTGGTCCTGCTTCTGACCGTTTCTGCTCTACCCAGAAAGCCGAGAAAAGGAGGAGGAAAAAAACAGGGCGGGAGGAGAGAAGAGAAAGACGGAAGGGAAGGAAGGATGGAGAGACAGAGGAAGGAAGAAGAAAAAGACAAGCGATGAAGAAAAGGAGGGCTGGAGGGGAAACGAAGGAGAGGAGGAAGGAAGGGAGGGAGCAAAGGCAGAGAGAAGGAGGGAGGGAGGACCTCGCTCAAAGGGGCACAGCAAACGGAAGCACTGCTGCTCTCTGGCCATCCCCTCTAGCTCAGGATGACATTCCTAGATCCAAGACACTAGACTCCTTTCCCAGTAAGTCACAAAATTTAGGCAGCCAAACTTAGCGCCGGGCTCCAGCACGTGTGATGCGGCGCTTTAGCGCCCCCTGGAGGCGCAGGTGAGCGTACCCTTCTCCGGACACCAGGAGTTCGCAGCGCAGTGCAACTGGGAGGGAAGGAGCTGACCCTAGCCTGCCAGGAGGAGCCAGGACCAGGGCCTGTCAGGAGCAGGGCTACGGCACACAGGGCTGCACTTCGTCTCGCCGTGGTCTCCATTCACGTCTCTCCTCCTCCGATTGGAAAGGGGGTACAAACAGACTCCTGTGGGATGCGGACACAGCTCCCGTGATTTGTGAACATGCATCACCACCAGCAGAGCAGGAGCAGCTAACGTGCATATGGTCTGGGGACACTCAAGACATAGCACATGCACATGGTGATCTTGCTAAATAGTGCAGTGAGTAGCATGTACACCTCTTCTCAAGGGAAGACTGAAATGCAGAAAAATGTACCGATTTGGCCAATGCCGAATTTCTAGCAAGCTGGGACAGCAAGGGGACAAAACCAAGCTCTTCAACTGCAAAGACTCCCCATGCCCGATCCTGGTTCCCAGGGGCAGAGGCTTCGCTTCCTCATGACTCTTCTGAGCAGATCTCTGGGAACCCGGGAGGAAGAATTAGAATCGTCTGCCCTGTGGCCAGGGATTTAGCTCAGTGGTTTTGCCACCTGCTGTGCAGGCACAAGGACCAGAGTTCGATCCCCAGTACCGAAAAAAAAAAGTCTGCCCTGGGAGTAGAGGGGACATTACAAATGAGAATCCAAGACCACACTGTGCAGGGTGGGGGCAGAGGGTACTGCAGAGGAAGGAGCCGGGCTCCAGCAGGACAGTGCCGTAGCACTGAGCTCCCGGTCCTGGGACACTCGGAGACAGTTGCCATGAACTAGTGAGTAGGATCCCTCCTCCACAGCCCGTAGCTCTCAGTCCGCAAAACAGCTGACTGCACAGCACACACAACTTGACTTGTGGTCTACATGGCTCTCATGAGAGGGGGTTTCAACCCTCCGTGGTCCTTCTCCTCTCCCCAGACACGGAATTGGGGCTCCTCTTGGCCTGCAGTCCTGAGTCTGTCTCATGTTCTATGACGAAAGGACTCAGAGACTCAGCGTCCTCTCCAGACTCCAGGACATGAGGCACCCCACCCTGTGCAGCAGCAGACCTGGCCTTCACTGCAGGGCTCGGCTCAGCACCAGCACTGGCCCTTCCTGACCACTCCAGCAGGGCAGCCAAGCCTGTGTTCAGCAGGGAGGCAGGCCCTGGCCTGCCCTGCACAGCACCACTTGGGAAAAGCCAGCTTCCCAAGCTGCCAGGTCTACCATCCCTTCTGCAGGCTGTGGCCCGCGGGGCTGGTTCCCCTGCTGGCCCAAGGCAGAACCTTCCTCCTCATGGAACTCACCCAGGGAACCTTCATCAAGGCCGGCCTGAGAAGCCCCTGCCCTCTTATAGTTCAGGGCATTCTGTCTCCACAGCCTTCTCCCACCCACAGGCTCAGACCCAACCAACCCTGGAGTAAAAACATCTGGGGGAAAATATGTCTGTACTGACCATAGACATTTCCATTGTCAGTATTTCCTGACCCACACAACTGTTTACATAGCCTTTACTTTTCACTGGGTGAAAAGTAACCTATGTCCCAAGTAATCTATAGAGATTTGAAGTACACTGGTTACATGTAGTTATATGAAAATTTACCATTTTGTATCAGCTTGGCATCACCTCCAGTGTACAAGGACAGATTATCCATGGGATTTACTTACCTTCTGCAACACTGTATTTCCCTCACTGGACTATAACCTTGTGGACTGCACTGGGAAGTGTACCACCTTCACTGATCTGCTGCATGAACAAACACACCAGCCCCTGCTTGTGACCGACCCACCAACACAGCACCACAGGGCCACCCCACACCACCACTGAGACTGGTGCCCAAGGGGACCCTGGAGCCAGTGCTGGCCCCTGCAAGACCCCTGTGTACCTCCTCCTGGCTGGTATTGATGTGGATCCTCTCACTGACCACTGACTGTAGCAGACATTCTTGCCCAGTACTAGTGGGCTGAATGGTGCCTGCTTCTTGCTGTCCATAATTCAGCTATACTGTTTTATATCAGGAATCAGACTGAAGCTCTATGGGACTCAAATGGGTATGTCAGTGGTGGACTGGGCAAGTATAGCTCCTTCCCCAATGGCTGCCACAGAAACTTAGGCCCTGGTCTGTGAAGTGGCAGGGCTCTGCTGAGTTATGTGCAGCTGAGGTCAGCACAATCCCAATTAAAATCCTTTCCCCTGAATTAGGGCTTCTCACTGACCTGATGGGTTGCTTGCTAACTGCATCCGGTCCAAGTACCTGTTTGTTCTATCCAATTAAGACAAGCAGTGCTTACTCCCTTATAGCCCTGCCTGGCACCATCATGCCAGGTGTTAGTATTTCACTAGATGCCTTCAGAGAATACCTGGCTCCCTATTCCTTCCCACTATTGTATTCAGTAAATACTGGATGCACTTGGTGGCCTTTGTCTTTGCTGCCATCAGCAGCACTGATCAGGTCCCAAGTCCCAGTTTCTCCACTCTTTTAAGTCTCATTTTCTGTTCTTTAATTCACCTTGTGCTATAGGGGCTCACAGGAGGCCAGGACCCACAGCAGAGGTTCTGACAATATCCCCTTCCCTGTTCCCTACACCTGACAGTGCTGCAGCCACATGCTCAGTGCCCACCACCACCCAAGGCCAGTGGCCCTGGGGACCAACATTGGTGCACACTTCAGTGTGGATGATTTATCCCCCACAGTGCTGAGGAGCAAGTTACTGTGAACAACCTGGTCTTCACCCTCCATCTACATAGGCTGCATTCAAAATGTACACTTGTACTCACTGTACAAGTGGTAACAGTAAAAGCACAGCCCATGAGGTCTAGAGACGCAGGCTTGAGGGTTCCCTGACAGAAGGTTGGCAGGAATCAGGACCATTGGGGGCCAAGCCAGCCAGACAAATCTCCTGGCTCATGGAAGCCCCAGTCTCACGAGCCTCAAGGGCCTCACTCTAAACCTCTGGATGTCTTTACTATCTACAGAAATGTCTTGGGAATGGAGGGGGCATGGCGATTTTTCCCTGCCACCTCAGTTCTCAGGGTAGGTTAACCACTCAGGCTTACACAATGCTTAGCCAGAGGGGGAGGAGCCCACCGCCGCAGTGGGGCTGGGTTCCAGGGTCAGATGAGCAACAGGTACACAGTGGGAAGAATGCTATGTGTCATCAAAGATATATTTTATTGAACAGTAGTGAACAGGGTACCACAGACTTGGATTATACAAAATATCAATATATGGTAAAAACATTTGCTAATGTAATTACATCAGAAGATCATCTTTGAGCCTTTCACTGTACAGAATGAACACAGGACAGGTCACACCCGCAAACTGTGTGTGTGCGCACATGTGTGGTGCTGGGGACGGAACCAAGGGTCCTGTGTGTGCCAGGCCCCAGACAGAACCCTGCAAGCTCTTTAAGTAGCATCACTCCCACATATTACCTGAATTACGAGACTGTCTGTTGGTAACTGTAGCTTGCAGGACTTTCCCTAACATGGGGACAAAATATGAGGATAACTGATACAATGCAATTTTGGCCGCGAATATAAACTTTACAAGAAAGTTTTAAAAATAGTGTTTGTGAAAACAAAATATAGACATGTGTTCCAAAAAAGAAAGCACATGTGCACACAACCATGTGTGCACGCACATGCAGACACGGATGGACGGACACACACACACACAGAGTGCTTTTGTAGTTTTGCATCTAGAAAAATCAGAGGGCTCACTCACATATTCTCCTCCCTGTAGCCGACTTTACAGCTCCACTGTTTTAACATTTAACCCAAAACCCTCACCAGTGATGTGGCCCCAGCTGCCTGAGAGGCCCTGCCGTGGACCTGGCCACTGAGCCGCAGTATGCTCTACCCATTCTTCCTGCTCTGCTGCAAGGCGTCTCTCATAGCAGATGACCCTCCCAGGGGGCGCCAGGGCCCCTCCTCCAGGCACAAGCAAAAGTGTCACACACCATGCCACGAGTGCCCTGGAGAAAAACACTGTCTGTGGCTGAGAGCCTGCTGTAGACCGAGTCACAGTAGGAGGGGAGTTGCAGTTTCCCGAGTCAGTCTCCAGGGGGCCCTGTCACCAGCGCTGGCTGAATAAACGACATGATCTGCCCCAGAAACGGGGTGTGCAGAGCTCCACCAGAAGGACCCAAACCCACTCAAGGCGGGACCAGGACCAGAAATGGTGCAGCGCTGGGTTTAAGGAACAACTTCAGGGTGTGTTCTGTCGCTCCAGGCATCAAAATCAAAGACCATCCTGTAATGCAGTCAGCTCAGACTGGGCCACGCACACCTTGGCACTGAAAACCACCACAGTTGAGGAGAAACAGTGCAGGGTCCAGAGCACCTGCTGCGAATCATTCTTCCTTTCTCCTCCTCCTGCGTTCTTTTCTCATCTCCTGGAACTTCTTCATCTCAGTCATCAGGTTCAAAGTCTTGCACACCCACATAACCTGGAAACGATCATTTTGAGACGAGTGAGAAGGCACGCTGGCAGAGAAAACCAACACACAAACACCAGCCACGTACGCACCACAATGATTACAGCGTTGAGCAGCAGTGGCGCCGAGAACATGATGGAAATGAACATCCCCCTGGAGTCGAAGTACTGGTATTTGGAAAATGACCTGTTTAAAGAGAAAGACAGGAAATTCCTTGGCCTAACAGCATCCTCCAGCACCAGGGGATGGAGGAGCAGTCAGCATCAGGGACACTGAGGTGCACATGCTGCCCACATGAGCCTCTGGGCATGGCCCCTCGTGGAAGGTGGGATCAGAGCTGCCCTGTGCTCTGCAGCTATGCAAGAAAGGCAGTGCTGGGCTTCCGTGAAGGAAGTATTATTCTCTAGAGGAAGTGCTCAGGCTAAATGCTGCAGGTTAAAGGACCCAGCTTGCCCACAGGTAGAGCGGGAATGGCAGATAGGACCTGTCCGCGAGGAACACAAATAACAGTCAGCAACACTGGGAACCTGCCATGTGCGTCACAAGCTCTGGGCTCTGCAGTGGACAAGAGGACCACTCTGCCACAGCCTCCTCTCCAAGGGAAGGAGGGGCTCCAGGACTTGTGTGGCGGTCCATCAAATCCCACGTGCTGTCATGAGTGTGGCAGAGACGGCGCAGGGGCCCAGAGGAGGGCACCAGGGAGCCACATGATCTCGAGAGGTGGCGGGGCTGAGATGCAAGGGGCTGGGGGGGCGGGGGCGGGAAGCTGACATCACCTCCAGTTCCTGGCAGCCACTTCATTGATGTACTCAGCGCAGTAGACTAAGGCTGCTGAGAGGAGACGGAGAAAGCGTGTTAGAGTTGAGAGGGCAAGTCACTAATCCTTACAGAATAAGCCCATCCAATTCCACAAGAGAAATTAACACTGACACAACAGAACACCAAGAGCTTGACGAGATGTAACTTCCGTTTCAGCTGTAACGTGAAAATTATAAAACTGTGAAGTTACAGAAAATGCCCATTTAACAGCAAGCAGGCAGAACATGTCGGAGGTCTCAGTCAGAACCACATGAGGCTGTAGCGGGCAGCCACCTTCTCCCTGTGGCCCAGCCCCATGACGACCACAGGTCAGCCTATGGGAAGCCAGGCAGCAGGACTGCCCGAAGACAAGCTGGGGGGCCAGTGTCACTGTCCTGGCTCACTGGCGGGACAGTGCAAGCTGGGAGGTCACTGGGTTCGAGAAGCACAGGACAGGGTCGAGGCCAGGCAATGGCAGCCCTGCAGGGACTGCTGGCAGAGGGCTTCGTGGTCTCCTTGGCCCTGACAGGTTTTCCTGAGGACCAAGGTCCTCCCAGGCTGCAGGGCACACGCCAGACCTCCAGCCAGTTCAAAGGTGAGGACAATTTCACATGTGACAGAAATCACCACCCCTGCCACATACAACTGAAGAGAAAGCATCAGCAAATGTAAAAACCTGGTGCTCTTCTTTCTAGTATTAACTGTTCAGTTAAGTCAAAACATACAAACCCTCCATACAAACCCCAGCAGTCTCCTGACCACCCTGCACAGTGGAGCCAGTGAGGCCGGACCAGCAGGAAAGGGAGAAGCAGGGCCTGAGGGGGGCGAGGAGAAGCCACTGCACACCGAGGAGCGCTGTGGGACTCACAGCAGGAAGGACCCACTGGGTGAGGGGCTGCGGGCCCTGGCCTGTCTCCCTTGTGAAAATGGGCACGTGACATGCAACCCTTCCAATGCTTCGAGAATTTAACGAGTTATGACACATGAACAACATGCAGAATAGGGCCTATTTTTTTCCACGGTGACCACAGCCACTCCTCTTGGAAATCACAAATGCACACAGCTTTACATTTGTGGAACTGCTCTGCTGCCTCAGCTCATCCGAGGAGGCCACGTCTTTCTCCAAGGTGCTTAGTTCTGGGATGGCTTAGTGCACGCAGAGACCCTCTAAGCCAAGGGCCCATTTTCCTCACCACTGACCCCCTTGTACCCCTAAGGACATGACTTGGTCCAGCCTCTCATGGGAGGAGGATGTAACAGGTCCATCCACCCTTGCCTCCCCAGCAGTTTCTGTGACACACACACTCAACTTCACTCCAGTCTTCCTAAGTAACACCTTGTTCACATTTCTTACCCTGTGCACATCCAGCTAAATTTATTTAGAATTAACTGGTGTGTTTTTATTACCAAACATCGTTGCTCTCTTTTCACTGCCTTCAGGATCAGCCAGGAGGCAACTTCTCATCATCCAGCACATCTGTAACATCTGGCTCCTCAGGTGTGATTTCTCTGGCTCTGACCTAAGCTTCCCATTACTGACCCCTCCTCAGAGGCTCTGCCCAGCTGCCCTCACATGGACTGGAGCCTTCTCCCCGACCTCATGCCCAGGCCAGTAAGCTCTTCCTTATCTTCTTACTGACATTTTGTCCAGTCTTTTACCCTACATCATGGCTTTGTTTTTTTCCATGCAAACTTTCTCGACACAGCATGAAGCTCCATCCCTTTAGTGAATTCCTGTAGCCCTTATCTTTAAACTGACCAGGGCAATATCTTATTTTCTGCATAGACCCTTCCTTCCTACTTTTCATTCATCCTCCTAGAGGAGGTAGTACAGGACTGAGCTCAAGCAGGAAAATGTCTGTGTAAAAGACAGTAACTCTTAAGACCAAAGACTTCTTCATACAACTGGTGTTCAGCACCAGCCCTAGCACACAGGAGGCATCCAATTCATCTCTTTCAAATTTGATATCCTGGCATTACAATTTACACACAGAACACCTGATGGCAGGGGTGGGAGGTGGTGTGAAAACATCCTGAAGACAGACAGACAGACAGACACACATACACACACAGAGGACACAGAATACACAGTCACCTGACCATCACGGTGCAGGGGTCCTGTGCTGTTCAACTCACCTAAGCTCAGGAAGAGGCCAATCTGTAGTCTGTACCTCTGGGATGAGAAGCAGGTGAGCAGCAGGCAGAGCACGTGGAAGACAACCAGCCCCAGGAGCCACGGCTCGGTCCAGTCTGTCTGCTGTGAGGACAAACCATTAGCACCCTGTAGCCCCTCACTTACTTGCAAGAACAAGGCACCGAGAACACAGCAAGGTTGCCCAGAAATGTAGGGCAAGAAAAGGAGAAGGGGAGGAAATAATCCCCCTGACTTGATGCCCATTCACAAGTTTTTAACGACTTTGAAGTTTGCGCACACAGAACATCATCAACTCACCCCTTCTGATTGAACATAACCAACCGTGTCGTTAATCTGGGTGAAATCTAAGGGATCACCACCTCTAAACGACAGGAAATTAGGTAACTTGTTTAAGTCGTCGATGCTCTATGTTAAGTGACTTGTTCAACTCGATGCACGTTGTTACTCCCCAGGGCAAATCAGGACCCTATGAAGTTCCTGAGCGCGGAGGCCGGGACCTCCTAACCTTGATTTCCCAGCCTTCCTAAGTGCCCAGCGCTCCAGGCAGTGGTGTAGGCCAGGTCTCCTGTCCCGAGCTTCTCAGCGGGCACTAGGGGTACTCCAAGCCCAGATCCTCCCACCAGGTGCTCAGCCTGCTCAGCCCCTCCTTCCCAGAGCCGCCTTCAGCAAGAAGCAAGACCTGGCCCACAACTGGGGTCTTGGGGCCCTTCAGGACCCTTGAGTGCCCAGTACTCTCAGCCAGGGGTAGCCCCTGTCTCTTGGGCACCGGAACACCGGAAGGACGCGGACGGCGACCGGTCCGGGGACTGGCATTCTGGGACCGGCATTCTGGGACCCTCCCATAAGGCAGGACAGCTCGGCAGTCAGCCAGCCCAGACCCCGCCTCTCTGGTAAGCCCCGCCCACGCCCGCAGCGGTCTACGCCACAGGTCGAGAACCCCTGGTTCTCCCTCCAGCTACCGCGAGTTACCGTGATCACCGCGGGGATGCTGACGGGGAAAGAGCTGACGGAGAACGCGGAAGGCATGATGTCCTGGAGGTCAGTCCTCACAACCGCCGCCGATCTCTTCCACCCCGTCCCGCTCCGCAGAAAGTGCTCTGGTTCTCATCTCGCGAGATCAGAAGAGGCGAACAGATTGGCAACATCGGATCCTCTCGCGATAATTTACCCTCTTTCCCCCTTTAAAAATCAAATCTCGCGTTAGTTAGCGATAAAGGAAGCAAAGACTCGGTTTCTGCTCCGATTTGGCGCGAGGGTTGAAGGAGACGTGGCAGACTATCGAGGCGTGGGGGCCCGGCGGGACCTATGTCTGCTTTTGGGAATCTCACAACACTGGATTCTCAGAGATGGATTTCCCGCCGGGTTTGCTGTCCCGGAGCCTCCGCCACCAGCGTGGGGCCGCTGCAGCCGCAGCGAGGGCGACTTATGCACCCCGGACCCGGCTCTCCTTCCCTTTCCGGGAAGGTGGTCTTTGTTTTGTGTCCGAATCTTTGCACATTTGCTCTTGAAAGTATTGGTTTTAATAAATTGTAACTTCATTTTTAATTGCAGGGCTCCAAGGTCCAGCGTCGCCGCGCCGGGTTTTTCGCCTACTCATTGTGACCTTTTCCCATTCCTACTCACTCCAGGGAAAGGAGTGAGAAGTGGAGAAAGCAAGACTTCCCTGACCCTCACGTGCAGGAGAACCTGGCCTGTGTGGCTGAGCCCCTTTCCCGACAAGCACGGGGCACCATCATGGCCTGCCCACAACGGGGCTCGGCCAGCACAGTGACTACTGTTGCCAAGCACCTGGGAATTTGTATGCTCTGCCTGGATGGAAATAGTCGGCAAAGCTGATCTGCTGGTAGCTCCGGGCCTTAACTGCACAGCAGGTGCCTCTTTGCCTGCCCACGGTTATACAGCTCTGGGGCTCCACGACCCTCGCTGTGCTAGACAGCGCTGGACCTCAGCAGGGCTCCAAGAGTTCCAAGGCTCCCAGAGCCCTCCAGGTCGCTGTGATGCTGGAGGCTCCCAGTGCTCTCAGCCTTTAATGTTACAGCCCGCAGGCTTGAAGAGTTCTCTGCCTTCAGCATTACTGCTTGAGGCACGAAGTGCGCTCAGACTTTTGAGGCCCAGAGTGTCGTCAGCCTTCTGCATTGAAGCTCTGGCCTCCGAATCCCCTCAGCCTTTAGAATGTTAGACATTTAGGGCTGCTCTTGGCCCCCAGCATTATAGCTCAGGACTCTGCGTACTCAGCCCTTAGGGTTACAGTGCTGAGCCCCCAGCTCCTGCAGCCCTTTGTGTTGCAGCTTGGAGTATCCGCTCAGCATGACTGCTTCATGTTGAGTGCCCACACACATCCCTGGACTGTTGATATAACTCGGGCTAAGATTCTGCAAGGCCTTCAGCCCTTGGTGTTATGGCTCCAGGGCAAGTTTGGCTTTGGGATTACAGCTTGGAGGTCCAAGCGCCCACAACCTTGGATTCTTAGTGTTACAGCTCTAGGGTTCTGAATCACCCTGAGCAGGCAGGCTGCCCCTTGGCAACTATCCATAGTATTTTAGCAGCTTCAGCTGGTCTCCACTGATTCCCAGAAAAGGTTGCTACTCATTGCCAGTTGCTGCTAGTTGTCACTGGATGCTGCTAATTGACCCCGTTCTCTGGTAATCACTGGTCCACAATGCAGGTCTATGTCTCTAACCCCCACAATGAGAGTATGAACTAGAACCCTTGTAGACTGGAACAGTGGAAGAGGAATGCTGCTTATATACCAGCAGCAGGTCTGTGATTGGTTCAAATTTAAGCCTGCGGATCCAAGCTTGTTGATTGGCCTAAATTCAGTTTGCTGCTTGGTTCAAATTCCAGCCTGGTGCAGTGAGGAAGACATTTACCTGGAGCAGGTACAGGTCTCTGGTAGAAGTCAGGGACAAATGATTGACATGTCAGCAAGAGATGAGTGACACCTGCTACAAGTAGGAGAAAATGGCCAGGCTAAAATCGTGAGGAATGACCAGACCAAACTGCTAATAAGTCAGGGCAGATTCCATATGTAACAGAAGCCCAATAATGAAAGTTCATATTTTAAAATTCCAGGGTTACAACAACATTGGATTTTCTGACCCTTTAAATTCACCCTGGACAATTCTGTCCCCTTTCACATGTGTCTGAGGTCACCTCCTCCCATGGCAGTCCCTGCAGCAGGTGGTCCCCGAGGGTGAGAGCTGCAGGTGGAGGCTGTGGGGTTGTTGGCCCACCTACCCCTCACCCACCAGTGACACGTGGGGTGTTTTCACTCGATCGAGTGGGCCTGGGTATGAGCCATGAAGGGGCGGGAAGGTGGATACTGCCTGTGCGCAATGGCAGACGCTGGTGTTCTGGTCATCTCTGTGCCCAGCAGGTGCAAGGTGGTGAGCAAGGAGTAAGGGAAGGTGGGTGCACTTGGTCCATGGGGTCTGTGGCCTAGGAAAGCCGGAGGGACATGAGTGGCTTGCAGCTTATTTATTCCAAGCTCAGTGCCCAAAGGGGTCCAGGATCCTCATCCTGCAGCCGAGGGAGGAAGTGGCCATATTTAGCTCCAAGCAGCAAACAAACAAAAATCAGGTAAAATAAAAAGGCTTCCGTCTGCAAGGCACACAGCAGTGCCATAAATCTAACAGACGCGCAGGTTCTTCCCACAGAAAGTTGGGACAGTCCCCGAGGCTCCCACAGGGTGGTGCTGTCGGACAACGAATGCCGGAGTTGGCTGGGACACTAGGAAAGGACAAACTCAAAATCAGATCCCTGGTGAGATAGCTCTGGGTGACTGCAAGTCCATGTGTTCAGAGTGGGAAGTGTGCAACAGACACACACCGTGGCCAGGAGGTGGTGAGGTCTCATCAGTTTGGCCAGGGTCACCAATGATGGGAGGAAGCTTCGGAAGGAAGCACCTGCCATCCACATGCAAAGGCAACCTCAGCATCTGGGCTCCTGGCCGCAGGAGGCAGTGTCATTTCCACCCTGAGGCACAGCAGCTCCGCCCAGGCTTCTGGACTTTGATCTGTGGAGAGACATAAGCTGAGCCTCTCTTCCCTGGTCAGGGTGGCACACGGAGACCTTAGGAGGTTCCAGTGCTCACCTCACACCACACAATTGTCCTGTGACAGCCAGGAAGGGACAGCAGAAGTAGTAAGGGAGCTGAGCTACTCAGAAAGGCTGAGACAGAGTCACTGACTTTCCAGAACATGCCCAGGCTGGGGCGGAGCTGTTCCAAACCCTGTCACATCAGCCAGGATCAGTGTGCCAGCAAGGTCTCTCTCAGTCGCGGCCCGTGTTTTCATTACTATTGTGAGACAGCCAAGACTGGGTACTAATTTAACAAGGTGTATTTTGGCTGGCAATTCTGGTTAAGGGCTGTGTCCTGCCGCTTGCTGACAGAGGTGGCCCCAGCCATCAGGTCGTGACAGACCAGCATGCAAGTGTGTTTCTGTCTCCAGGAGTCTCTTGCTCTTCTGAAGCCTCCAGATCCAAACTTGGGGCTGTGCCCTGTGACTGAGATAATCTTCGTGACTTTCCTCCCTCTTCACCTTTCACCTGAATGTGGGGATCCACAGAAACATGGGGACACGCTCAACCCACATCTGAGCCCCAGAACCCAAAGCATCTGCCTGCAGGAGCCAAAGGACTGGAGGACTGGAAAGACAGTGTCATCTGTAAGGCCACATCAGGGATTGTCACCAAGTGAGCATAACTTGGTTATTCTGGGACTTCTTTTTTTTTATTTTATTGTTTTTTGAGACAGGGTCTCACTATGTAGCCCAGACTGGCTTTGAACTCACAATGTAGCCCAGGCTGGCCTCAAAGTAATAGCAATCCTCCTGCCTCAGCCTCCTGAGTGCTGGGATTATAGGCATGAGCCACCATACCTGGACTGGGACTCTTATAGGATGGCTCATGTGTGGGCCAGGGATTTAGCTCAGTGGTTCCGGCGCCTGCCTCGAAAGCACAAGGTCCAGAGTTCGATCCCTGGTACCAAAAAAAAAAAAAAAAAAAAATTGGCTCATGTCCTGGTTAACTGCCTGGAAGGCACCTGTGCCACAGAGGGACCAGGGCACCCAGGAGCTGACTGAGTGCTGCCACCCACACGAGCCTTTGTACTGGGCCACAACCCCAGCCCTCTTTTTTTTTGGTACCAGGGATCGAGCTTGAGACCTTGTGCTTGTGAGGCAGGCAGTGGAACCACTGAGCTAAATCTCTGGCCCTTTAAATTCTTTTCTTGGTACATTTTAGGTATACAATACGTTTACATTTATCATTGGGAACTTGTACCTGTACATGATGCATCTTGGTTCTTATTTTTTCCCCATTCCCCGCCCTCCCTTCACCCCCTCCACCCTTCCCCATTTACAAAGACTTTGTTTCCATTTTTTCCTTTTCTCATAATTTTTCCCTTCCCTTCTTTCCTTTCCCCTGCCCCTCCCACCGTAAATACATTTTAAATGCAAACTGCCCAGAAGAACACGTTTGGCGATGTTTATAAAAAAGGGCACAATGGGCGTGAGGACATGTCGTTTATTCATGCGTGCTCTAGAGTAAGCAGAACATGATACTACAGGTGTCTGCATTTGGAAGACAGTCTCAGCAGGGATGTCTGACACAGAAATTGTTTTGCAGTGTCTGGCGCCCGTGGCCGCTGGACCGGATCAGGAGACTCAGCAGTGAGTTCGTCACCTGCCATCCCTCTGCTCCTGTACCATGAAATTCAGGACAAACACCAGCAGTGTCTGGCTCCACACAAGACAAACTCGTCTGAGGCAAGTCACTGCCCTGGGGCTGTCGACAGGATTTGCTGCCCTCTGCCATCTTGCCAGTGAGGAAGTTTCAGGCTCCAGACAGGCCGTGCATTCGAAGCCTGGGCAAGGCCAAGAGAGTGAGGCTCCTACATGCAGAGAGGGATCTGCGACCCATGGGCCTGTCCCTGCGGGAGAGAAGGGGGGTGAGCCCAGTGCCTGCTGGACTCGGGGCCAGATGCCCGCCGGATGCCCACCTCCGATCAGCTTCAGCAGTGGGCCATGGGACAGGCCAGGTCACCGGGCTGTGTCCTAAGGGGGCTGCAGGACCCTGGCTCTTTCTCCTTCTTTCACATCCCAGCCCTAGATGAGCAGCTGGTTTTGTAACTGGTTTGAAGAAATGAGTTATTTTCATCATGTTTTGTCTGATTTAGGGATTATAATTTGTCTGAATGATTTTTTAAAAGTGGGTTTGAGTTCGAGTTTTGACAAATTGTCATTCCCTTATAAATACAATTTGTACCAGAGAAAATGGGCAGAAGGAAGGTGCAGAACCAGACCGGGACTGTGTCCCAAACAACAGTACCCGTATGCAGCTGCAAGAACAGCTAGGCATTGTTAGTGGCACCTTAGACCTTCCTGAGAAACGGCTTTGCATGTTGTCACCTAAATGAAACTCAGGGGAACCCACCTGCTCCAGGTCCTGAGCTGCAGCTTCCTGACACATTCTGCATTCCGGCCGGGGAGGGACTTTTGCATCTCCCTCGGTGACTGGCAGTGTGGATTTTGCAGGGCAGTGCATCCTGTGGATAAGCACACATCTAAGTACTGCCATCACTGGTGCTGGAGAAACCCACAGGCTTGTCCCCACTGTACCAGGAACAAGTACTTCCTCCTGGGCTGGAGTCCTGGAAGCCGCTCAGGGGCTGGGGGACTCTCTCCCTCCAAGGCCTCCCTCAGATCCCCTCCCTTGCAATGCTGGCACCAGCAGGTCAGTGGGTACCAGGGCTGTGGCTTTGATCAGGGCCAGATGTCTCCAGCATCCTGAAGAAGTGGGGAGGGCTCAGCACTAGAAAGTCCATGGCAGCATGTGACAGTGCTGCCCTAGTTCCTTTAATTATTGAGGAAATGCATGTGTCAACTCAGAATGACAAGGAAACACCGAATTCTAAACTGCCAGCCAGCTCCTTAAACTCATTTTATCTATTTCTTCTGCAGAGAGTTTTGTCAAACTGTGTTCGCTGACCTGCACTACTTCTGCTCTTTGTGGGGACATGACCTCACCTGCAGCTCTGTCCAGGCATGGGCATGGAAGTGGACATGTCTGTCACCCTCCCTGAGGATGACCTCCTTCTTTGTTCCCATTTACGTGGTGCTGCAAGATCACAGCTCTGCCTGTGCCTGTATAACACTTCTTCTCTGGTGGGAAATGTGCCTTGGAGCATGTTCCCAGGAAGAGGTCACAGGACATCTGCAGTGTGCAGGGCCAGCTCTGTTTTCCCAGAAGAGGCTGCCAGGACTTCAGCAGGCCCCACTCTGAACACTGTGGGTTACTGCCCTTCCCAGAGTTGCTGTGATTTTTAATCTCACACTTAAATCATATCTGAGGATTGATTCAGTGTAGTTTTCTTTGATTACTGACAAGCATGAAGTCCTGACCTCAATTTAAGGCTGAGATTAAATACTGCTTTAAAATATATCAGCCTTGACATGCATCTTGTGTTTAAAAACAAAGTGGCACCTACACATTCCTAGTGGCAGATTTTGTTACATTCTTATTGCTTACCAAGGTCTAAGATATTTTTATATTTGCTTAAGTTTGTAATTTTATTTACGATGGCTGATGCACATACTTATTTCACTGAACCTGTGAAAGTCAAAAATCTTATCCAGGGCATCTCAGAGTCCAGCACAGCATCTTTTACCAGTGTCATCAGTTTGGGCTCAAAGACATCACCAGGTTGTATAAATCTACTTAACTGTAAGGATAACATGTAATTAAATAGTCAAATAACTACGCTAACCCTACTTTACACATGTATTTACAGAGGTGCTGCCTAACTGAATAGCTGGCTGCAAGAAGTGTTACCAGGTAAAAACTTAATACTTTTTTAAGCAGCAAAGAGATCAAAACATTTACTTTTCAATACTTACTTTAGCTTTAAAAGGGCGGGGGGTTAAATCCTACAGATTTGCTACAGAGACTTAGATAAATAAATTGCATGTATAAACCAACCCAATTCTGGTGAAGCCATTATCATGCAGAAATGTATTTCAGGACAGACCACTTTTACATCACATTTATTAAAAAACATCCCAGTCCTGGCCATCTCCACATGATTATGTTGCAAAGCTATTTGGGCATCTTACTGCTTATGTGTGATTTCTTTGGTCTGGTTATCTGTTTTCATAGTTAAAAGGAGAAGAGTTTTTCTTAGTAAGTGGGTTGTCCATGCCATGGTGTCATGGTTTTCAGCAAGAGTGAGCTTTCTTGTTATCACAGGCAGCCTGGCCAGCCCTGACGATGCAAGCTTGTGCTGCTAGGGAACACGAGCCTTCTGAGCACTTGCTCTCTACTAGGCGCACAGGAAGTCCTTTCTGTGTGAGTATGTTACCTGTGATCCTTAAAGCAGCCATGCAAGGTAGACATGACTGCTTTATTCATGGAGCTGGGGCTCAGAGAAGGGGGCTTGGCCAGCAGGAGCCAGGAAAGGAGCAGGAGGGAAACCAGCACTCTGACCTTACAGAAGCGTCTGCACCACCTTTCTCCCTGCAACTCACAGTGCTGTGGAAGCACGCAACTTGGTTGAGGAGACAAATTTGAGCCCTGCACAGCGCACTGGGGAGAAGTTGCCCTGCGGGACACTCAATAGGATTCTGCATCCCGTGATTCAGCGCTCCACTCGGCTCCAGTCACCTCTCTGTGTGTGATCATGGAAGTGACAGCTAAGGCTGTGTTACTAAGTGGCCTGACTTTACTTTTTCAAACATGCCACCAAACAGGGAGACACTGAGGACTTCTAAAAACATGTCTAAAAAGTAAGGACAACTGTACTTAACAAACATGGCCTGATCTTCGTAGGAATATACGTTCTCTGAAAAAGCAATCCCACCAAAGGAAGTACACAGACTCAAAGCTTCAGGGAAAAAAGCACAAAGAACTTTCCTTGATAAAGCATTACGATGGCGAGCTTGCTTTTGCCATTCTTTCTTCTTCAGTGTGCCCATAAATGCTCTCCATAAAGACTACATAACACCATGTGTGCACCTTCCAAGATCCAAAATGCTCCTCTCCCTGTGGCCTACCTGTTCTCCATGGGGAGAGGTACTCGGCAGGCTGCTGGGCAGAGGTGTGTTCTGCATGAAAGCAGGACCAAGGCCCCATACTGCACACAGCTGTGGCCCTGAGACCACCAGCTCCGTGGGCCCAGTCTGGGTCCAGCGTTCACTCTGAGTAAGGGAGTCTAAAGGGATGAATTTGTGGGCTCACTGTCCGCCCCCAGGCTGACATAACAAATGTGGCAGAGCAACATCTCCACAGACCTCTGGTGAGCATTCCATCAGGACAGAAGGGCTGCCTGGGGTATCCTCCGGGAGCCGCTCAGGTTCTCATGCATTAGCTGCAAATCATGGAAAGTACCCATTGTCTTTTGAGTTTATAATGCACTTCACCAGTAGGAATAATTGATACAAAATACAACTGAGAGCAGCAGAAAGTCAGTGCACAGTTTACTACACACAGAGATTAACAAAACAATCACATTTCAGGGGTCCCCAAACTGAAGATGATAGAGAAAAATTAGTGTCAGTGTAACAAGAAAAACCAGAGCAAATTAATGAGGACAGGAACTGCACAGATTCCCATTTTCTGCTAACTCACAGTCCATAAACAGGATCCTGATGAGTTCAGGTTGGAGACGGTGACCTAAGAAATCTGCACTGGAAGAAACAGAGGCACACACATGACTCTCCGAAGCCCATGGTCTAACTCCTAAAATGGACATGACCACAAACTGAAAAACCAGCTTGTTAAGTGTAAACCAGTACCACCACTGTGGAAATCAGTATGGAGACTCCTCAAAAAGCTGAAGCTAGAAACACCATCTCACCCAGCTATTCCCCTCCTAGGTATCTCCCCAAGCAAGTTAAAGACAACATATCACAATGACCCATGCACACCCAGGTTCATAGCGACACAACTCATAATCACTACACCTTCGAAAGGGCTCTCATCAACAGATGAATGGCAAAAGAAACTGGTGTTAACATGCAATAGAGGACCACTCTGCCATAAAGAAGGATCAACTGGAGTCATTTACAAGAAACCGATGCACTTTGAGACCCTGATGTTAAGTGAGATAAATCAGACACATGAGCTTAAGATATATTAGGTACATGCACCAACTCCTCGGGGAATAGGAACATTGTGTACTACAAACATGGACTAATAAGAAAATAAATAAAAGCAAATTGGATTGCATGCATAGCACTAAAAAAATCAAGTATAAAAGTTGCACATGAAATAATCTCAGCTTGGTGAAAAGAATTTTAATGAAATAAAGTTTAAAATTGAGCATATTTTAGCAGTGTAAAAAAGGCTGATAATGCATTTAACTCTGCATCACAGGTTTTCAGTGTTGGCATATTTCTGATTGGAATGTTTAAGAAGTATCCCCCCTTTTTTTGAGACAGGGTCTCCTGTGTAGTTCAGGCTGGCCTTGAAGTTACTACACAGCCAAGGTTGGCTTTGAACTCACAGTGATCCTCCTGCCTCACCCTCCCGAGCACTGGGATGACAGGCATGTGCCACTAGGCCTGGCTTGGGGCTTCTTCATCCTTATTCTCCCTCCTTCCGGTCCAAATAGGGGAAGCTATGGCTTCTTATACTTTATACCATTGTTCGTCTTAATTCTTTCCACTGAAAGGAAGCACTGTGTATTAGGAAATTAATACTGTTCAAAAAGCTCAGTTCTTCAGAGTTGTGTGGAGAGAGGCAACAGAGAGAGGGGGTAAACTGAGGCTCCTCCTTCAGCCAGGGAGAGAGCACACCTGGGGTGGCTCGGCCAGTTTCCTTCTGCACAGCACATCTGGATGACAGAATCCTGGGACTGGCTGTGGGAACGTTTAAACTGCAGTGTCACTTTCAGCATAAAAACTAAACTTCAGTCTGCCGGAGAGCTGCCATGCCCAGGCCTTTTCCCTCCAGTAAAACCTTCCCGAGAAGCTTTTGTCCCGGGAAGAGGGCATCTCCTGCAACCCCAGAGCCCAACACGCCCAGGCTTGTGAGCGATTGGTCCACCTTCACTGTCGGAAGCACCAGTGTGTCATACAAAAGAGCTCTGGGACCATGTGTCTGGGTCGCAGGTGACTGGCCTCAGAATGGGAAGCAGCTGCGTCCCCGGCCGTGCCCAGGAGAGGGGAGCCTGAGCAAGTCCAAGAAGCAGTGGAGGAACGAGGCACTTACCACCTGCAGATCACCGTCCAGGTGATGCCCGCCAAGACGCCGACCAGCAGTGCCCCCAGTGCGAGGGAGACCCAAGACGCCCGCGGGAGCCGGCCAGAGTCTAGCACAGGAGGAGATGGGTGAGGGGCAGCCCTGGCTCCCCAAGAGGTCGCTCTGCATGGAAAGCCATGCGATCCCAGGATCCAGCCTGAGCTCAGTGGACAGTGGGGCATTTGTGGTCATCAGCCTCACAGCCATGGGGCAGGGACAGGAAAGGCCCTCCGGCCCCAGCCAGGCAGGGCACAGAGCACCCTGCAAGAAACCCTGCCCGGGCACCTGGACCCCAAAAAGACTCTGGGTCAGGAGACTGCACCAGGCCATTGTCCTGAAGGGGGCGCTGAGCACTCAGGACCCCAGGGAAGACACAGAGGGCAGGCAGTGCAGCAGCAGCCCTGACCTGTCCCGGGCCCGGGGAGTGCTGCGGCTTCCCCCTCAGGGACTGGCTGACAGCTTTCCAGAAACCAACAGCAGAGGAGGCAGTGCCTACCTACACAGGTCCTGGCGTCCTCAGCCAGCACGTAGGGGTCAGTGCACAGGCACTGGAAGCTGCCCCTGGTGTTCCTGCAGTGCGCGGAGGGGTGGCAGGGCGGGAGCACTGGGTCTGCACACTCGTCCACATCTGCAGAGACAGAGACAGAGAGGGTCAGTGCAGGGGACAGCCAGGTGCCTGGCCCTGTGGTGCCCTCCTGGGGCCCCTGCCTCCCAGCTATGCGGCTGCTGTGGCTCCCAGCATGAGGGGAATCAGCGGACATGGAATCCAGAACCTGGACTCCTGGAGACGCTGCTCCGGGCCCCACCAGCTCCCCAAGGTCAGGGGCCGCTGTCCCGCCCGCCCGCCATGCTAACCCCTCCACCTGGCCTCCCCATCTCTCGGAAAGCAGCCCTGAGCTGGTCCTGGCCAGAGAACCAAAGTACTTTGCTTTTCCTGCTTTCAAATGCATGAGCCCTGGAAGCCAGCACTGGATTAATTATACCAGACTTGACCGATCCACTTCCATCCACACTGCATGGGGTGCTGTGCACTCCTGAGGGTCACAGTGGGCTATGTGGCCATAGGCTCAGACTCCTCTCCTTGCACATTTCTGTGGCCGCCATGAAAATCACAGCAAACTGATGGCTCAGAAACAGGTACTCATTCCCTCTGTTCTGGATGCCGGAAGTCAGAAATCGAGGAGCGGGCGGAAGCGTGCTGCCCCCAAGGCTTGGGAGGCCCCTCAGCCCTCCCCGAATCAGGGCTCACTGCCACCTTCCCATTCCCTGCAGACATCCTCAAAGCCACTTCACGCAGCCACTGGGCCTCTGCGTCCACTTCCTCATCTAAAGGACTTGGGGCTCGGGTCAGGGCCACCGACAACTGCGCTGCCATGAGTCCCCGCCTGCCGTGCGCAGTAAGGCTTGGGTGCGGCTCCCGTGGGTCACAGTCAGCCACAGCACTCTCTCTGTGATCCGTTTATTCATGGGGAGCCCGCAGCAGGGCCTGGGCACTCCAGTCTCCTGGCCGAGGGCCATGCTGGGGCACAGGTCCACCCTGGCTGGGTGACAGCGCTCTCACAGAAGAGGGGGAGCTAGACTGGGGCTGGCAGTGCCCACAGGCCCCCCGTCGATCTGCACAGAGGGAAGCTCTGCATGTCTGGCCAGAATTGGGCTTTCCAGGGAGAGCCAGGCTGTGTGCCCAGATCCACAGAAACATCTGCACAGATGTCCTCGCTGCTCTCAGCACACATAGCTGACACGAATCTTATAGATACAGACACCTGCAGCTGTCCGCTTTCCTCCATAGGATTACCTCCGGCAATAACTACTGGAAAAGGCCACAGACTGCGGCCTTCATCTGCTGGAATCCGAAGCATGAGGGCTCTCGGGTGAGACGCACCACAATTCGTTTGCTGGATTTTCCTATCAAACTGTCATGTGCGTGGATTTTCCTGTGTAAATAGGAGCTGAACCTCACTGACCTTTGCAGACAGGCGGCTGGGCGTCCCACCCATTTGGGGTGCAAGTGACCTGCTCCTGCCCGTGAAGCTCGTATCCATGGTGACAGGAATACACCAGCACTTGCTTTCCAGAATCCTCACAGTGCATGAAATCCCCATTCTCCACCTTGTCTGGTGAGCTGCACCTGTCATCTACACAACAGTGAGGTTAAAATGCAGTCAGCTGCAGCCCAACACCAGGCAGGGCTGAACTGCACCACCGCCCTGGGCCCAGAGCCACATGTGGAGATGGGGCTATTGGGAGGGGATTTGCTCACCGTTTCCTCATCTAGGATGGAAGTGCTGTAAAGGCGTGTGTGTATTTATTTCTACAAATGGGCTCGGCCTCTGGGAAGCCATTGCTACCTAGTTACTGAGCTCCTGTGTGCAGCCCAGGCCTGCGTGTGTCACACAACATCCAAGAGCAAGCTCTTCGTGTGGGTGGAGGCACGTGGGGCTGACATGGTCTTCACCACGAGCAGGCACAGACAAAGCCACAGTCAGGACCTGTGCTTTACAGAACCCGCTGGTCGGCCCTGAGGATCTGTTATGCAGCCAAACTCTGTTCACTGTCATTGCTCTTTAGCAGGTGTGATCTCGTGTGCTGTCTACGCCTGCGCTGCGCGTTCTGGATGACCCTGGGTGCAGAGGCAGGTCCAGGGCTCCAGTGCAGCACAGCGCTCGGGGCCTGGGTGTGGACAAGGCCAGGGCCCCTCATGCTCACAGCCCTGGCTCTAGGCCTTCCTGTCGGGAGGGGTGGAGGGGAGGTTGGAGCCAGAGGCCACTTCTCAGGAGGGCAGGTATGAGCCCAGCCTGCTCTCTCCGGCTCAGTCTGCGCCATGACATGAAAACAAGGGCCCTGTTCACCTTGCAGGAAGGTCTCTCTCCATGCTTCCAGGTCCAGGCTGGGGATGTGCTCACAGGACTCAAAGTCCTGGGGGAACCGCCCGACGCGGAAGGCGTCCCTGGGCACATGGCTGAGGCCAGAGTTGTCGCAGATGACCCGAGACAGGGAGTGTTTTCCCAGCTCCCGTCGCTGAGCCTCTGTGAAGACAGGGCTGTTCTCCCACCAAAACCTGCACAAGAGGTGCAGGTGATCAACAGGCCTGGTGCAAGCCACTTCTGGTCAGATGGGGCTGCTACCTGGACCAGGTCTGAGAGCCACCTACAGCCCCCACCTCCAGGGAATCAGGGACACTGGGAAAAAAGTCTCAACGTCCTCTCAAACCACTGACCACTGCCCCAGGCCCCCAAGCTCCTGACCTGAGGCCCATAAGCACTGAGTCACCTTTGTCATATAGAATTTGCTTCCCTGACTGCTTAGGAACAAATTCCTCTGGAATGTGACAAAGAGGGCTCCTTCTACACAAGTCCGTGACTCCCAGGCATGGATTGTGGGGATGATCACTCATCCACGAGACAATGTAATTTTATTAGATGCTTGCTCGTGTAGTTAGAAATACGGGAAATCAGCAAATGTTTGTTTTCAGGCGCTTAGGAGACTTCGTGGGCCTTTCATTTTGTAACCACAGTTTGGCTACCGGAAATGAAGGCTGAGAGGTGACCCACCCAGGCCCCAAGCCTCAAATGGTGAAGCCAGCGTTGGAGCCAGACTTGCTGCCCCCACTCCCACCAGTGTGGAGCGCGCCATCCCTGCAGGCAGCAAGGGCCGCCACAGGCACCCACCTGTCCCCGTCCCTCAGCGCCTTCATCTGCTTCCCGATGATGCAAGCAAACAGGGGGCCGGTCCTGGCCCCTGGCAGGAAGTCCTCGGACAGGCCGCCCAGCCACACATCCACGTTGTCCCCGTGCTTGTAGAGGGCCAGGATCCTGTCCACCACACTCCTGTTGCTGACAGCCCCGTGCAGGTCGGTCGGGGTCTGCAGTGGGGGCAGGCCACAGAGCTCTCTCCACGCATTGTACCCTGCACAGGAGCAGGAGGAGGGACCCGGCTACAGCACAGAGCCAGGGTCCTGGTCCCTCCCTAGTGCTGCAGTGACACAGCACCTGCCTGACCTTCCCCGTGACACAGGGACCGGGTCACAGCCCGGTCACTGTCCCTGCAGCACAGTGGACCTGTCCAGCGTGACTCGGGCTCTCTGGGAGAGTCTGTGCTCACAGTCCCATAGGGGAGTGGACTCCCGCTGAGCCCCAGGCGGGGCAGGTGTCATGACACTGGGCTCTACAGAGCTGAGGAGCGGCCTTTCCCTCCACAGGGTCTGTGCTCCTCAGCAGGCCTGGACACACACAGGGAACACTGGTGCGC